CTCACTCGACCATTAAGCCTACGGTCTATCTTACTTCGAGTTCGAGCAATCACTCACTCGACCATCAAACCTAAGGGCTATCTTACTTCGAGTTCGAGCAATCACTCACTCGACCATGAAGCCTATGGGCTATCTTACTTCAAGTTCGAGCAATCACTCACTCGGCCATCAAGCCTACAAGCTATCTTACTTCGAGTTCAAGCACTCACTCACTCGACCATCAAGCCTACGGGCTATCTTTCTTCGAGTTCGAGCAAGCACGCATTCGACCATTAAGATTACGGGCTATCTTACTTCGAGGTCGAGCAATCACTCACTCGACCATCAAGCCTACGGGCTATCTTACTTTGTGTTCGAGCAATCACTCACTCGACCATTAAGCCTACGGTCTATCTTACTTCGAGTTCGAGCAATCACTCACTCGACCATCAAACCTAAGGGCTATCTTACTTCGAGTTCGAGCAATCACTCACTCGACCATGAAGCCTATGGGCTATCTTACTTCAAGTTCGAGCAATCACTCACTCGGCCATCAAGCCTACAAGCTATCTTACTTCGAGTTCAAGCACTCACTCACTCGACCATCAAGCCTACGGGCTATCTTACTTCGAGTTCGAGCAAGTACTCATTCGATCATTAAGCCTACAGGCTATCTTACTTGGTTGTGTTCTTAGTTCTAAGTTATCTTGGGGTTTGGGGATTAAACGTGTTAATTGTGTCCTGTCTCTCGCGGCACACCCTAGCCTATGGACGACGGCAACTGACGGCAGTTTAATAAGGTTTAATCAACATCCTACAAGGATCCCTCACACTATGAACATAGAACATTAACCTAGTAAGATTAGAAGCGTTAAAGAAGATGAACAGTAAACACTATACAGTTAAGAACACTATAGAATTACTAAGAATACTATTACATGATAGGATAACAGAGATAGTAGACTTATGCCTTAAAGATAGTATATCTCTCAAATACTGATATTTTGTATAATTTTCAAAAATGAAAAATTATCCTACTTTTAATAAAATAAGATTATTAAATAAGGGCAGATGGAAAATCCTAAAAGGATTAAGAAAAATTAATAAGAAAATTTTCCTTGTTGAATACAATATTGAAATTTATAAAGAACTTGTTTTTATTGAACCAAGAAAACAAAGTTTAGAAGAAATCTCTGAAGTTATAAAAACTTTAGTACAAAAATTATATGATTATAAAAGTAGAAGATTTTATATTTTACTTAATCTAAAAGCTATTAATATTTGCATTAGAAGATGCACAACTATCTTACTATGAATAATTCAGATAAAAGCAAAATTTTAAATGACATAAATCAATCTCTGGCAGTAACGAATATTGCCAAAATAGAAAATGATCTACAAAATTAGAGTATCCCTAGAGAATCCTATAGTACTATCTATCATACTGGTAAGTTTGATTTTATAAAAAATTATAATATCAAAACTTGTGAATCTACTATTGCCATCAATAACTCGATAGAAACAATCAAGTTATTAGCTGCACAAGATATTCAACAATACAGAAAGAAATTCAATTTCCTTCACATCGGATTAGTATAAGTGGCAGTCAAACCTTTATACAGATTAGGTTTAGACACCCCTCTCTGTCTCTTACTAAGAGATGACAGACTTCTTAACTTTGATGATTCTTTGTTAGGAGTTTTACAAAGTAACTTAGCCCAAGGCCCAGTTTACTTTAATTGTTATCCAAACTTTTCAGTTGACATAAACGACCAGAATATTTTGGATACATTAACTCTTAATATAAAAATCAAAAATGTGAACAGCAAAGTTAATACAAGAGAAATAGCTGTAATATATAGAGTTTATTAGAGACTAATGAAAACTACGTTAGACCCAAAAGCTNCTACGTTATCCCCAAAAGCTAAGATCGAAAGTAATAAAGGAGTTACTATGCTCATGGAAGCAAACCAAGAACATAGTAATACCTTCGTCCCTAGAATGATTCAATGGGATGAAATTCTTTCGAAAGATGAATAGAGTTTTAACTCCATTACCCAACCAAAATATGAACCTGAAAGTTCATACATTTAACAAGTCATTTAACATCCTTCTGGAGCCATAGACTTAAAATTCTTAAGTCCAAATTCGGCTAGTGAAGCTTCTTCCAGTAGAAGGATGACATTTACTAAACCGGCTTCTTCTAAGGATAGCAAGAGTGACGAAGAATTAATTAAAGAAATCAATACAAAACTTAAGGGAGTAGACTTTAATAAAATTGTTCCCAAAGTTATCTATCAAAATAGACCTTTTGTAGCCACTCCAAGAAGCCCAGCTACAGAAACAATTGATCAATTAACCGTAATCCGAGCAGATGATTTTGAAATAGATTGGAAAATCCTAGATACTCAGTGGTTACATCCCAATAACATTATTAACAGAAAATGGTACGTAGATACCTATACTTTAAAATAAAGACTATCTTTTAAAGATAATTGGATTAAGGATTTAAAAAGAATCAAGTGTAATATTGAATTCTTTAAATGGTTTGAAATAACAGGACAGATTCCAAATCAAAAGGAATCTCTTCAAATGATTGTTAATAAATGGTATACCAAAAACAAAGGTATAATAGAAGCCGTCAATCCACCCTTAAAAGAAATTCTAATACTAGTCCAAAGCGAAGTAATCACAGCTTCCCCTTTTAAAAGAGAAAGTGTTCATACTGATAGTGCACCTACTAACAAAGACATTAATAAAATTATTGTGTAAAATAATTACACAAATAAATTATTACATGTAGTTTCTAATCAACTTAAAGATAATAATAAATTAGGAATCCCTACAAGATCCATGACAACCTCTAAAATTGAAACACATCCAATAATAAAACTTCCTGAATATTCTAAAGAGAAGTTTCCAGAATTAGAAGAAAAGTTCGATTTTTCTGATAAACTTTTGGAACAAATCAAAGAAAGACTTAGAACAAAATTAACAATATCTAAACCAGAGACTACTGTAAATCAGGCTAGCACTAGCAATAATAAAAAAAACCATAGAACTTTATAATTTAATTAATAAATTAAGCTCTATTGAGAAGGATTATAATGATTTAAGAACAAAAGAAGATTTTTCTGGTAAAAAGGAAAAACTCGAGTTTCTAATACAATGCTCCAAAGAAACTTCTGAAAAAATTAGTAAAATACAAAGAGTCTCCACAATCAAATCCATTGATTCTGAAATCAATAGAATTACAAATGATCCAAGACATTCTAATAAAAAGAATTATTATGGAAGAGCGTCATTCCCGGATGTTCAATTCGAAGAAGATATCTATTTAACTAGTTCTAGTCATGAAAGAACTGGTATCACAGAATGGAACATAGATGGATTGGCAGAAAGCTAAATTTATAAAAAATTACATGAAATCGGTATTGCAGTAACTACCTATAAAATGAAAGGAGCTTCGGATAAATATGCCACAACTTTAATAGTTTCAGGATTTACTAGAAAGTTAAAAAATTGGTGGGATAATTATCTTACAGAAGTAAATAGAAATCAAATCCTAGGAGCTACTACAATAGCAACTATAATAAAAATTGAATCGGGAGTACAAGTTGCAGAGCAAGAAGCTAGAGAAGATACTTCTGCAACCTTAATCTACTGTATTGCTAAACACTTTATTGGAGAACCAAAACTTTTCCAAGATAGGAGTTTAGAACTTCTTAACAATCTTAACTGTCCAAAATTAACAGATTTTAGATGGTATAAAGATATGTTTATAGAAAAAGTAATGATCAGAGAAGACTGCGGTAGTGCTTTCTGGAAAGAAAGATTTATCAGTGGTCTACCAAGATTATTTGCCGAAAAGGTAAGAAACAAAATGAAAGATAGATTCAACGGTCTAATCCCTTATGACAATCTTACATATGGGGATTTAATCAGTTTTATTAATGTTACAGGTCTTGACTTATGTACAGACCTCAAAATTAAAAGCCTTATTAAAAAGGACATGCTCCAATCCAAAACAGAATTAGGAAGTTTCTGCCAAGACTTCGATTTTAAAACAATTGCTGCTCCATCTAAAAGAGCAAAACAACATAAAAAATCTTCTGAAAAAACAAAAAGACGCCATAAACGTCAAGAAAAAAAGGAAGGAACTCCTAAGAAAAGAAGATTTAAAAGACGTTCTAAAAAGGAACATGGTGATAAATATTGGTCATGTGGTAAGACAGGGCATAGAGCAAATGAATTGCCAGTCACCAACAATAAAAAGAAAAAGGTTAATACCTTAGAACTTGATGAAAACATTAAAGAAAAGCTATTTGCTATTCTTGAACAAAATGAAAACAGCACATCATCGTCATCATCAGATGAAAGCTATTCTGACAGTGACAATGAAATGATAAAAATGGTTAAGCTCAGACTTGACAAAATTGAAATGGAAAATCTCACTAAAGAAGTATTACAAGCAGCCAATAAAAAAGAAACTATTGGTGAATACTTCACAGAAGATGATAATTCAAAAAATGATGAAGAATCAATCAGCGGTACATCAGTGGCAAAAATTACTAAAGTAAGAGCACACAGCTATCATATTCCTATTACCTTAAAGGTAAAAGATATTACGATAAGTAAATTAGCATTATTAGACTCAGGTGCAGATAGAAACTGTATTATGGAAGGAATAATACCAACCAAATACTTTGAAAAAAGCACTACAAAATTATATTCTGCCACAGGAAAAAAATTAAAGATAGATTATAAACTATCTAAAGCCCACATTTGTAATGATGGAATCTGTTTTATAAATGACTTTGCGGTAACTAGGGATATTAATGAAGAAATTATCCTAGAAATACCCTTTATAGCTCAGATTAAACCTTATTATGATAATTTAGAAGCAATTTGTACCACAATATTAGGAAAGGAAATAAAATTCCCTTATCTTAATTCTAGAGAAAAGTGATTTCCTCAAATCAAAAACTATTTTTAAAATAAACCTACTTTCAAATCAGGTTAATTATTTAAAAAATGATATAAAAGTTCACAAAATTGAACAAACTTTAAAAACCCCGGGAATGGTGGAAAAGATAAAAAATTTTCAAGAAAAACTCGAACTTGAAGTTTGTTCAGAATTACCTAATGCCTTCTGGGAAAGGAAAAGACATGTAGTCGAACTCCCTTATATTAATGAATTCACTGAACAAGCCATACCCACAAAGGCTAGGCCTATTCAAATGAATCATGAACTCATGAAAGTTTGTAAGAATGAAATAAATGATCTCCTTAAAAAGAAGATTATCAGACCCTCTAAATCACCTTGGAGTTGTGCAGCTTTTTATGTTAATAAAAGTGCAGAAAAGGAAAGAGGAGCTCCCAGGTTAGTTATTAATTATAAACCATTAAACAAGGTTTTACAATGAATTAGGTACCCGATACCTAATAAAAGAGACTTATTAAAAAGAACTTATAAAGCAAATATTTATAGCAAATTTGATATGAAGTTAGGATTTTGGCAAATTCAAATTAGCGAAAAAGATAAATATAAAACTGCCTTCAATGTCCCCTTTGGACAATATGAATGAAACGTTATGCCTTTCGGGTTAAAAAATACCCCATCAGAATTTCAAAACATTATAAATAACATATTCAATCCATACAGTAATATGTTAATTGTTTACATTGATGATATTTTAATATTTTCTAAAGATATAGACTCTCACTTTAAACATTTAAATACGTTCTTAAAGGTCGTAAAACATAATGGACTAGTAATAAGTGCTAAGAATATTAAGTTGTTTCAAACAACTATTAGATTCTTAGGACACGATCTTTACCAAGGCACTTACAAACCAATCTGTAGAGCCATTGAGTTCTCCTCAAAATTTCCTTATGAAATCTTAGATAAAACACAATTACAAAGATTCTTAGGAAGTCTCAATTATGTAGCAGACTTTATTCCCAATATTAGAAAAATCTGTGAGCCACTATACAAACGTCTCAGAAAGAATCCAGTCCCATGGAGTCAAGAACAAACTGACACTGTCAAAAGAGTCAAATCTATTGTTCAAAAACTTCCCTGCCTAGGTATTCCTAACCCTGAGGCATTCATGATAGTTGAAACTTACGCCTCTGATGAAGGGTATGGTGATATTCTCAAACAAAGAGTCTCTTCAAACTCTTCAGAACAATTAGTCCGTTTTACTTCCGGAATATGGAATTCGGCTCAGAAAAATTATAATACAGTCAAAAAAGAGATTTTGTCTATAGTACTATGTATTACAAAGTTTCAAGATGATTTAATAAATAAAGAATTTTTATTAAGAGTTGATTGTAAATCAGCTAAAGAAATTTTACAAAAAGATGTTAAAAACCTCACTTCAAAATAGATTTTTGCCAGATGGCAAGCATTATTATCGAGTTTTGATTTTCAAATTGAGTTTATTAAAGGTGAGGAAAACTCTTTACCCAACTTTCTAACCGGAGAATTCCTACAGGGAAAGAATGAGACCAAACCAGAAGGGCCCCTTCAGGGCCTCACCAAAGAGAGAAAATAGATATTCTGCACTAGCATACTATTATCGCCCCTTACCTGTGAGACCACCTCTAAATATAATGGTAACCCCTCCAAGAGTCCCCACTATAAATAAACCAGCTACAATGAAAGTCCTTGGTACTATTCCAAAAATAGAAGGACCATTCCAACAAGCTTCTTCGAAAGCTTCGACAAGCGAAACTGGCAAGACACTCACCAGTTCAGATTATGAAATGAAGACCCCAGAGTCATTCGCACAAGGAGTCAAGCCAGAGACACCATCCAAAAGGGAATGTAAAAAACCAGTTGCTCAAGAGAAAGAAACATTTGAAATAATCTCCAAAGCACCAATCAAAGTGATAGCATTGGACAAAGGATACGAAAATTTCGATAAACAAGATCTGATTAGACCTTGTTACACAAACAGGAACTATGTTGAAACTAGTGACCCCCTAAAATCAAGGAGGTATTATGAATTTATTCTTACAGATACAGGATCAGTTAGCTTTGAGCATACCCTCAGAGATGACAAAGACCCTGACAGCATTAGGTACTCTAGATTCACCATTCACAAAATCATTAGCCCTTTTGAATGAGGAATGGATCATTTGCACACCCCGATTGTGCTCTCTGTACAATTCAGACCTCAAACATATAATTTCAAAGATTACATGGACGCATGGTACAACTTTATGTACCTACGCTCGGGTTCTCACACATGGTTCATAAAATATAGCGAACAAGCAGCTAAGTCAGTCATACCAAGATGGTTCTATGACTGGTGGAAATCATTTGGAGGAACAGAGCAATCAATGCCTCGAAGCTTCCATATTCATTATGAGAGATTCCAGAAAGAACAGGAAATCTCTACCCTACCAGACCACATTAAAATCTGCAAATACTACTTTGCAAAAAGAATCTCTTTTGTTATTAGTTGGACTTTCGAAATTGAACAAATCGAAAGAATTCAATATTTAGTCAAGGACCAAAAATCAAAGGATGGGTTCCTGAATCAAGAGAAATCAAAAACCCAAATCAGCCAGCAGAAGTGGATCCACCAGTTCACAAGCAGAATTAAAAAAGAGACTCTTAGAAGTCTTAGCAAACATTGAAACAGCAAGCCCAGTGGAAGTACAGGCTATATTAGACACAGTATCAGCATCCTCCTTCACGGAGAATCAAGACAATGGGGACATGGAGGACCCACAAGGAATAGCCCAAGCTTACAGGGCCTACGCAGAAGAAGAATAGCATCTGAAGATAGTAACTCTCCAGACAAAAGACAAGCGACTCTTCAAAAAAGAAAGAGTCATCTGACAAAGACAAACATAAAAGACAAAAATAGTACTTGCCCTTTCAGAAAAGCAGTAGACGACTCTTCAGTAAAGCAACAGATAGCAAACTAAGATCGTCCATTCAGACGGTTGAGATTAACTCAACAAAAATCTGAAGTCTATATAAGACTTCTATTATTGTAATAGAAGGCATCCAAAAATTTCCCAAGATTTTCCCCTATCTTTTCTCTCCCTCTCTGTAAAAATGTTCTCTTATGTTTGAATAAAGTTTTTAACAAGTAAGTGTTTCTGTCTTTACTATTTAATTTGTTAGGACCCGATTCTTTGTCAATCGGGTGTGGCGCGGCTATGGCAAGGATTGGGGCGTGATGGCCTTGCTGTTGGCCTATGCGGGACCAAAACGATCATGCGGGACAATGGACGAGAAACATTGTCATGAGAACAAGTATTGGCCAAGGTCTTGAGACAGGCAAGATGGACTTGGCAAAGGCTTGATGAGGCAGTGCGGGCAAGTTTGGGCGGCATGAAGCGGCATGCGCGCCAAAGGCAAAGGTTCGGGCAGTTTAAGTTGTGGGAGCGCCAAGTACAAGCTAAGCTAAATCACGGAGGCATGGAATGATGGCAAAGGGTTTTAATAGCTAAGGCAAAGCTATGTGAGACAAAAGACAAGCAATGGCACGAATGAAACAAGTGTTGACAAAGACAAGGTAGAAATGCGGCTAAGGCAATGTGCGACCGACAGGTGTCGGGCATGTGCATTAAAATCATGGACAGCAGGTTGTGGATGAGACATTGGCGCGGAGCAATGTTAGAATCAGCCAAGGCTAGGCGCAATGCCAGACTTGGGGCGTGCAATAGCTGACCAAGAAAAAGGGCACATGTAGTGCACATGCCAAAGCAGTGGGCCGTTGTATTTTTGTAATGACTTGTATCCATGTCTGTTTAGTGCTTGTAGCTAATGTCATTTCGTGTAAGATAATGGCCTATGTAGTTGGGGGAAGTCAACTACAAGATAGGATCCGATTTAGTAATGCTGTGTGTAAAGGCTTGGTTCAGTGGGAAGTGGGACCAGTGCTCCACCAGTGGGCTAAGTGCTCCACCAGAAGAGCTGAGTGTTCCACCATGAGGCTGAGTGCTCCACAAACAGAAATAAGTGCCGGAGAGGTCCATAAGTATCATAAATTAATAATGTTATTGGGATGTAACCACTGAGTACCTAGGATTTTCCAATCTATTTCAAAATCATTTGCTCTGATACCATTAAGAAGATCTTTTGTTTTATCTAAAAAAAGATAAAATAAATGCGGAATTAAATAGTAAAGACAGAAATACTTACTTGTTAAAAGCTTTATTCAAACATAAGAGAACATTTTTACAGAGAGGGAGAGAAAAGATAGGGGAAAATCTTGGGAAATTTTCGGATGCCTTCTATTACAATAATAGAAGTGTTATATAGACTTCAGATTTTTGTTGAGTTAATCTCAACCGTCTGAATGGACGATCTTAGTTTGTTGTCTGTTGCTTTACTGAAGAGTCGTCTACTGCTTTTCTGAAAGGGCAAGTACTATTTTTGTCTTTTATGTTTGTCTTTGTCAGATGACTCTTTCTTTTTTGAAGAGTCGCTTGTCTTTTGTCTGGAGAGTTACTATCTTCAGATGCTATTCTTCTTCTGCGTAGGCCCTGTAAGCTTGGGCTATTCCTTGTGGGTCCTCCATGTCCCCATTGTCTTGATTCTCCGTGGAGGAGGATGCTGATACTGAGTCTAACATAGCCTGTACTTCCACTGGGCTTGCTGTTTCAATATTTGCTAAGACTTCTAAGAGTCTCTTTTTTAATTCTGCTTGTGAACTGGTGGATCCACTTCTGCTGGCTGATTTGGGCTTTTTGATTTCTCTTGATTTAGGAACCCATCCTTTGATTTTTGGTACCTTGACTAAATATTGAATTCTTTCGATTTGTTCAATTTCGAAAGTCCAACTAATAACAAAAGAGATTCTTTTTGCAAAGTAGTATTTGCAGATTTTAATGTGGTCTGGTAGGGTAGAGATTTCCTGTTCATTCTGGAATCTCTCATAATGAATATGGAAGCTTCGAGGCATTGATTGCTCTGTTCCTCCAAATGATTTTCACCAGTCATAGAACCATCTTGGTATGACTGACTTAACTGCTTGTTCGCTATATTTTACGAACCATGCGTGAGAACCCGGGCGTAGGTACATAAAGTTGTACCATGCGTCCATGTAATCTTTGAAATTATATGTTTGAGGTCTGAATTGTATAGAGAGCACAATCGGGGTGTGCAAATGATCCATTCCCCATTCAAAAGGGCTAATGATTTTGTGAATGGTGAATCTAGAGTATCTAATGCTGTCAGGGTCTTTGTCATCTCTGAGGGTATGCTCAAAGCTAACCGATCCTGTATCTGTAAGAATAAATTCATAATAACTCCTTGATTTTAGGGGGTCACTAGTTTCAACATAGTTCCTGTTTGTGTAATAGGGTCTAATCAAATCTTGTTTATCGAAGTTTTCGTATCCTTTGTCCAATTCTATCAC